ACAAATTTTAAGTAATTTATTGTTACACATTTCTCTTTGGCGAGCAACTGTCCTAGCGAGCAAATGTCCTGGCGAGCAAGTGTCCTAGCGAGCAAATGTCCTAGCGAGCAAGTGTCCTGGCGAGCAAGTGTCCGCGAGCAAGTGTCCGCGAGCAACTGTCCCCGCGAGCAACTGTCCTAGACCCCTTTTTTTTATAATAATTACTAATATTTTTAAATCATAGCGCAGTATTCTCACCTTTGAAAAATTGTTTAATATGGCAGTACCGTCTTTTTGATAATTCGACTTATAGGCATAAAGCAAAAGAAAAGTATGATTTTTCTTATCATAAAACGTTTGTTTTACTACAAGAATATTCAGAATTAGCACAGTAAATTTTCCCTGTATTACGTATTAGACATGTGCTGGTTTTGTTTTTTAATCGATGAACCGATAACAGATTTAAGAAAACAAAACGTTTTTATTTATACAGATTCTTGAACGTACATGTGAAACACTATAAAGACAACATCTGGGAATGTTCATGCTGGAGAAAAAAATGTTCATCGTGGTAGGATAATCATCTTTTATACATAACATTTTTCATGAAAAGTTTTGTAAAAAATATTTTAGAAAACTAAAATTTCTTTTCATTAAAAAATTCTATTATTTGATGTTTAGAAAAGAAGGACGACGAGTACTTGTTGTTTTGTTTTTGTGTAGTTCTACCAATATCATCCTTACGTAGCAAGAATCAAATCTAAGAAACTATTTGTTTTGGTTAAATTTTTCTACAAGGAGTAGAGAGTATTAATATGCAACAAAAAACAAAATATCTTCTTGTTTTTGTATTTTAGAAGAGACTTGTGACTCCATCAAAAAAGAAAGCAATGTCAGATTGATTACAATTTTGTTCCGATCTTCATATTTCATTTTTCCATATGTTAACTAAGACAAAATTGTAATCAATCTCACATAGTTTTCTTTTTTGATGGAGTCGTAAGTCTCTTCGAAAATATAAAAAATAAAACATATTTTGTTTTTTGTTGTGTATTAATACTCTACTCCTTGTAGAAAAATTTAACGAAAGCGAATAGTTTTTATCTGATTTTTGCTACGTAAGGATGATATTGGCAGAACTACACAAAAGCAAGAATAACAAAAAGTACTCTTTATTCATCTCACAGAAAGGAGATGCATCTGAAGTGCGTCGAATCAGCAAAGAAGCTATTTATTCATCTCACAGAAAGAGTTCTACCCTTCAGCCTAGTCGAAGTTACATAAAATTTCCGATCGTTCGTTGCAAAATGGTCGAACTAAAGACGATAACATAAACCTCAAACAAACGCTATACTAGACTAACAATTGTCCCATATACACTTAAGCTTTTATTATCTGTATGTATAATTTCAGTTATCAAAAATATACATTAATATAAATGTTATATTTGTCATCGTCGTTATTAAATACAATTTTCTGAACCAAAAATGCTCTACAAAAAAATATTGGAAAAAGACGTAAAACCAACAGAAAGAAAAAGAGTTAGATGATTAAGCATACGTTTTTTCGAAAAGAACATTTTCGCGTCAACATGTTTTTAGATTGCTGCTAAGTACCTTTGGTTAATTCCATTTGCAACTTTTAAAAATAACTTTTTCCACCTGTGCAGCTTTCAATAAGTTGGAATTATTTTCTGATTTTTCGGGTAATAAGGTTTACATCTCTGCTGAGTGTTTTATATTCCTATAAAAAAAGTAGTGAAATTATCTTATAAAAAAACAAGAATTTGAGAATCTGCGGTACTTTTCAAAAATTCTCTCACAAGGAATTATTTGGTTGTTTTTCAGATTTTTTCCGAAACTTTTCTTGGCTTTTTATTCGACATTAATCGACCTGCTAATTAACTTTTTTTGATAGGCAAATTTGGTTTTTCGCGATATATTTCCAGAGGCCAAAATGTTTTTACATAGCGCACACCGGCAGACCATCGAACTTTTCAAATTAACCGCCAAAAATATTTGTTAAAACGACTTTTGCCTGGACAATCCAAAATTAGCTTTATAAGTTTTTTCAAGGTTTTTTAAAGTTATAACGGCAAAATAAAACATTTTGACGCTGAGAATATACGTTTTCTGAAAATCTTAAAAATGAGGCCAACAAATATGAAGCGGACCGCAACGAAATTAAAGAAACCCTCAGACTTTTGCGAAGAGGGAATAGAAAAATTAAGGTATAGTTCAGCGGACTTTGGTGTGTTAATGGAGCTGAACTCGTCGTATGAATCAATACTTAATAAAGTATGGTAACTGTTTTTCTCTGCAAAAAAGTCGAACGAACTTCGTCACCCGTAAGTAAAACCCACCTTTTCGGAGGCTGTGCAATACAGATTTCACGAACAATGGCTTATTTTTTAAGAAAGAAGAAAATTTTTTTTATGGTGATTGCTTTTATTTCGGTTTTTTATTGCTGTTCTTATCTTTTTACCTTCACAATGATAAAACTACACAGAAACTACATACTTTTATTATTCAAAACAATCAAATATCGCTCAGACCACAGAAGGGAGTACCAAAGCACAAACGCTGCTTTTTCTATACTAAAAACAGCGTCACATAAAAATGGGCTGCGGAGCGTCAACGACGACTACCGTTCAACCACCGTCTTCTAGATCTTCGGACAAAAAGGTTTCTACTACAACTGTTTCAACGCCGTTATCACATCAGGAACAGTTCAGTACCACCACCACTTCGAAGAAACCAAAAGAAGAGCGAGGCTTACAATCAACTGCCGGTGAGAATTTTTTTAACTCTTAGATACGATATTCAACAGAAAGCGACTGCTCTGAAGAGTTGCACTAATAGTACAAGGCAGACACATCTACCCAAAAGTGCTTTCTCTGAGTTTTTTACTTAGTGCTACACATTACATTGTTAAGGAAATGTTTGTACCTCCATTTCAGTTTCTCTAGAGAATCTTTATAGAGCTTGTTACCTGTTGCAAACCAACAAAAATAAGACTTCTCGATTTTTTTATGAAACACATTTTTTTAAAAACGGTTACTTTCCTCCCGCATTTAGATGAAACAACGGCCGTTCAATTGCATTCTCTACGTGCACGTAAAAACTACGAAGACTTTATTGTTATTTGGCTCGATGCAAACGTAAAAAGCAGCGCAGAAGACAATCAGGCAGCGGCAAACCAGCTGCGAACCATTGTGGGTCGTCTTGAAATCTTTGATAATGAGGAAGAATGTCTTGGCTATATCGCGGGCATTGAGAAAGAAAAAGTCTTTCTCGTCGTCTCAGGGTCGAGTGGGAAACGTCTACCTCCAAAACTATACAATTCTAGTCAAATCTCGGCAGTTTACATATTTTGTTCCGACGTAGAAAAACATGAGAAATGGGCAAAATCTTATAAAATTGTCCATGGTGTCTACGCAGATATTCATCCTCTTTGTGAACAGCTTCGAAAAGACACTGCACTTTCGTCGAATGATTTACTCGGAATAAATGTCCTGAGTTCTACTGGTACTGGTGAGAGTGAGGGTGGTGACATTCATCAACAAGAATGTAGCTATTTATAAATTACTTAACCTTAAAAAATCCACCCCTTCTTCGTTTCACCTCCCGATTTGCGTAAACTTGTAAGTATTAGCTTGAATGTAAACAGTAGCCAAGCTGAGACTACGAACTAGAAACTGCGAAGTATCGCAGAGGGTCGCATATTGTAAGAGAAGTAGTTGATGAATAATTCCTGCTTCTTTCATGTACGCACAATTCCTCAAGGAAATCCTTCTTGAGTTTCCATCAACCACGCAAAGTCAGCGAGAAATGATTGACTTTTGTCGAAAACAGTATCACGACAATCCGACGGAACTACAAAACATTGACAAGTTTGAAAAAACCTATACGAAAGATAGAGCTATCTGGTGGTATACTCTCGACTCTTTTCTCTACCGCCTCCTCAACAAAGCCTTGCGAGTGCAAGACGTCGATGTTCTCTATAACATGCGTTTCTATCTCCGACACTTACACGAAAAGATCGGAGAAGAGCACTCAAAGTGGCTTCAAGAACATTCAAGTACCAAAACTTTGTCTCTCTATCGTGGTCTCTCCATATCTAAAGAAGATTTTGCCAAACTAAAAGCGAAAGTCGGTGGTTTTATGTCCATTACAAGTTTTCTATCAACCAGTCAAGATGAAAGTGTTTCACGAAGCTTCATTCTGCCAGGAAAGGGTGAAACATTGGGTGTACTGCTTCAGATTGAAGTTGATATTGAAAAATGTAAAACACCGTTTGCTGATGTTGTGGGACAGAGTCAATTTGACAATGAAAAAGAAATACTCTTTACAATGGGCACAGTGTTTCGCATTCAAACTGTACAGCAAGACAGCAGTCAAAAGATTTGGTTGGTGCACCTGCTTGCCACTGACGAAGAAGATAAAGAGCTGCGAAAACTCACAGAACACATGAGAGATAGCATTATCGTCTTGAATTCGCTTGGGAGTCTGGCAAAGTTGATGTTGGAGATGGGTGATTATGAGAGAGCCGAGTATTACTCTTTGCTGCTGCTTCAAGATCCCACAGTTACAAACGATTTCAAGGTACACTCTGTTCTCCTTAATAATCTTTCAAAAAGTTCAGAATCTATCTAGTCTTCTGCGCATAGCGTAAAATTTGTGCTTTTAAAGAATGCAGTGAGGCGACGAGTAATTTGCGAATATATACATGGTTTTGTTTATAGACAAATGGGTCAACATGAAAAAGCTATTGAAAATTATGAAAAATCGCTTGAAATTGATTTAAAATATTTGCCAAAAACTGATTCATCGTTAGCTTCCACCTATAATAACATTGGCAGTATTTACGATGATCAAGATGACCACGAAAAGGCATTATTTTACTACAACAGAGCCTTAGAGTTAGAACTAAAGGCGCCGGATCCTCATCAACCTCGCGTTGCTACTTATTATAATAACATTGAAAGTCATTCGCATATTCCTTCAGCTTCAATAGCTTTTAGGCTTACGCCCACTCCTTCCCTTGGCCGTGATATCTGAATACTTTGTTGGACTGGTCTATAAAACACAAGGGAGATTTTCAGCAGCATTAGACATGTATCAGAAGGCTCTCAACATAGAACTTCAAATTCTTCCTGCCAATCACCCAGATCTGGCAACGACGTACAACAACATATCACAAGTCTATCGAGCTCAGAAAAACTATGAAAAATCAGTTGAATATTTAAAGAAAACAATAGAAATTTTACTGAGCTCATTACCCTCAAGTCATCCTTCACTGGGTGTGGCGTACAACAATTTAGCTTTGTCTTTGTATTACCAAGACAAGTTGGCAGAAGCCTTAGAATACATGCGAAAATCATTCGAAATTTATTCAATGAATTTTCCACCAGATCACAAAGATGTTACTGATAGTATTAAAGGAATTGCGCGTATAGAACAAGAACTTCGTAACAGTGTCTGAAGTGTTTGTTATCTCTTTTTGCTATTAATCTATTTTACTTGTTAGTAAGATCAAAAAGTGAAAAAATTTACTCTCTAACCGATTGTTTTCTATTTAGGTTAGTGACGTTTGAACGTACCACTGACATTCGGTATAGGTTGTAATTTTACAATCCAAACTATTGCCGGACGATTGCCTCTTAAGCGTTGATTTTATCATGGAGTGTGTCGAAGATAGGTATGCACCGGTATCGGTATTCATACCGAAATACCGATACCGAAAATACCGATACCAAAAAAATACCGAACTTCGGTATATACCGATACCGAAAATACCGACTTTTTTCACTTGGAATTTTTTGGATTTTATCATTTGAAATGAGATGTTTCAGCGTCCTGGACACCCAGAATGAATCAGGGACGGAAAACAAGAGCTTTGTTTGCTTTCTAAAGCCAAAGTTTTTCTTTTCTTTCTATCTGCACATGCTCGAAATACACAGCTGAGTGTTGTTTATACGTTCTGCTTGTCCAGGATGCTAAAATATCTCATTTCAAATGAAAAAATCCAAAAAATTCCAAGTCAAAAAAAGTCGGTATTTTTGGTATTCGGTATACCGATACCGGTGCATACCTATCCATCATTATAAATAATGGTACTTAGACCCAATGAGATTTCTAACATTGTAGATGAACAATATCTGTGTTTTAGTGCCATTGTTCATAATAATGAATGAAACTCTTCGTTAGCATTCTGACTACCATCGTGCAAATTTAGAGGAGACTGGGGAGGTTGTTTTGAGCTTGTAAGGAGTCAAAATAAATGTTATCAGCGTCTGGACCTAAATGTGTATAAACTTTGACGCATTCTAAGCGCCTGAAGCACTAGTTTTTATCTCCACTCACTCTCATCATGCCATCATGCGTCCCCAGTCTCCTCTAAAGTACAGAATATAACATGAGAATATAACACTCATTTGAACTTCTAACCAGTTTTTGAACTCGTTTTTAAAGCGAATACAGAACTATTGATAAGTCTGTGAGATGTGAAAATGTGAAATTCCTCCCAGTAAACGTATTTAAACTATGAAAAATAAGGGACTGTAGCCATTCTTACGTCGTGTACGTGCGCCTAACTTACATCGTGTTTGTTCTAAACATAGTTGATCTGATCCAACAAAGCAGTTGATTCTTTCTCGTTGAGAATCGAATTCATTCATTCTTCGAAAAAGCATCTCCACCGCCTCTTTTAAATGATGTTCTCTGGTGGAGTTTTACGAAGAAGCACATGGTCTTTGCGCCTGACAGGTAGACTTTCCAACACACACGAAGTATTAAGGTGAAATGTTTCTCAGATCATAAGAAAAACCAAATTTATTTAATATATTAAAAACGTTAACCGATCAAACGAAAATTGCAAATATACGAATAATAAGGAAGATTGTTAAAGAGAAAAGAAAACTAGTATAAGAAGAAGAGAAGAGGAAGAATACCAGACAAGTTAGCCAATCTGAGCATAATGTACAATTACTTTGGAACTGTGCGATAATTCAGTCTTTTTCCTACTGTGTTCGTTAAGGAGAAAACGTTTTATGTGCTCATATACGAAAAAAGAATCTGAATTAAGAATTGTTAGCCTGTCGATCGATAATGCGAGAAGCTTCGAATGCTGGGAAAAAGATTTTAGTTAAGTTAGTTTAAAAGTTTAAAAAAGTTAATTTCGTGCTGGATTATTCTTTGGAGAACGTACCGCATTTACATCTACTTTCTGCCAACCGTATGACGCTTTAAGGGTTTTGAAGCACTCTTTATATATATCAGCACTGAATATGGGGACAGTCTGTAGAATTTGCTGTGGGACAAGGGGAGTGAGTTCTACTATTCAGTCCAGAAAACAGCTGTAGTCCCATGGTTTTCACCATTAGACAGACATGGCAGTCTTTAAACTCGTTACGAGATGAGAAATACTACCGTCTTTTTTCAGACTGCGAAGCTGTTTTGAACTCGTTACGAGTTCAAATGAGTGTTATATTCTCATGTTATATTCTGTACTTTAGAGGAGACTGGGGACGCATGATGGCATGATGAGAGTGAGTGGATATAAAAACTAGTGCTTCAACCGACAAACTGTTTCTTATTCTCTCACAGACTTATCAATAGTTCTGTATTCGCACAAGATGTCAAAAAAGCCTGCTTTTTTTCTTTCTTTCTTAAAAAACCAAACGCAAGACCCATACTTTTGCTTCTTCTGTCAGTTGTTGTTGCCATTATCCATCTGACAAAACAGTGCATCTTATTCAAAGAAATAAAAAAATGAATTTTTTTCCTATATATTTTTACATTGTCTCAATTCGAGATAACGTCACATGACGATTTCTCATGCCGATACAAAATACATGGGAAAAGTTTACTTTTTTATTTCTAATTTGGATAAGACGCCCTTTTGGTGCCCGAGTTTTTATCATACACCGACTGGAGCATCCGAAAATAGGATGCTCCTGTTGATGTCAACAAGTTTCACCTCTTTCTGTAGTTTGAACCCGATAAAATCGTTAATGAAATGAGGAAAGCTGCATCGGACACCTACCCAGGTCTCAGATATTAAAATATATTAAATATATATATTAAATATATTAAAATCCGAAGAAGAATGATAAAGAAGTTATTAAGGTGGCGATAAAGAATGTAACATTCGAAGAATTTAGAAAACAAATATCAGATGAAGTTAAAGAACAAATTCGTCCGGCAGTAGACCAAAAAGCGGCCAGTTTGCCGTTTAGAAGAAAGCAAAATCAGAAGTGAAATCAGCAGCGGATGCTGTCGTCGAAAGTGCCGTTGGGACACCCTCTACAACATAGTAGTATTACTTTTAGCCGCATTTGCACTTCAACTTTGACATAAAAGTCTACCATTACGTGGACTGGCCGTTATACTGTTTTTGAAAAACACTGTAAGGCGGAAAAATTCAATCATCGGATCACCATCACTGAAATATTTTTACAGCATGAAGTAATTTTAAATGCTACAGGTCTCTGATGATGAAGCTTAGCTAAATGTCTAAATGCTAATGGTATACTAATGACTAGAAGCTGTATTTCACTGACTACTAGCAGGCAACTCATAAAATATTATATTGTCGATAGAGTAGGGTTGTAGCTACATTTTAGTAAAAGAAAAAGTTTTAATTTCTCTTAGGTCAGGAGCTATTGATGTTTTATGGAAAAGACATAAATCGCTTATATCTCACGAACCATCTATGAAAAGAGTCCCATACTTCGTGAGGTGATCAGTATTTGACACGAGCTATGACCACAGAAAATTAGAAGTCCCTAGCTATCATGGTTCTTGAGTTACAGGGGATCGCTACCTTTGACGAGTACTGTATATTATTAGAAATGAATGAAAATAGCATAGTAACCAAATAGAAATTATTTTAAAACCAATTAATCTGGTAAAAGAAGTGAAAATTATGATTTGTTAGAGATACAGATTGCAGTTAAAAAACAGCTCACAAGAAATTATACAATCGGTTGAAATGCGATTAATTTTGATAAAAAACAACGCTATACGAATGTTAAATTCAATGACTATGGATTAGAGACATAGAATACTTTATTTTAATCAAGCAAAAAATCACGGAGTAAACGACAAGAAATTCAATTCTGCGGTTGGTTCATCATTGCAATAATTGCATATTAATGAAACACTAATCAGCTTATGAATCTGTGAAACAACGCAAGTCAAATATCGGTCCTAATCAGAACTTCTTCTCTTAGTTGATTAAATTTGAGAAGCAAATCTATGGAAGCGGCAGCCAAAATACTCAACTTCAACCTACAATCAGTTTGCACGAATACTTAGTGGATCAGATGTTGGGAGGTCCTGCAGCTTGTTTTACCCGAGAACAAATTTCAACAGCACTAATACGAGTCAATCTAATGCACGAATCTGTTTTGACTCAATATTTTTTGTTAAAAAGAAACAGCGTGGCGGAATCACACATCGTCGACCAACTTTGTTTTTACGAAAAAACGAACTTCTTTCGTTTCTCATTTTTCGTTTTTCTACGTTGTCCTAAATTGACTAAATGCAGTTTAAATTGTTTCTCTTAATTGCGCACAACAAATCTCGCCTTTTCTTACTCGTTCTCGACTCCCGCTATGATTTATAGTTTAGATAACTATTCTAGATATTATCTTTCACGAGTATTCATGTCTTTGAGTATCGCCTTCCTTCTTTGATTTCACTTATAAATTTAATCGTCTCTTTAAGTTTCTTTCAGCATCGAAAGAATTCTTGTCAATAACCTGTAATGGAACTAAATATCTATCACTTTTTCTTACTTCACTTTCGCATGCATGACATATCAGAAGAAAGTGAGAGAAATGGAGAGGTCTATGCTTCCATCCCAAATTATAGTTTTAGGCGAACTTTTACAATTGTTTCAAATTCAATAAGATTAAATTTATGTCGTGTCGAAATGATTTTAGTATGGTACAGAGAGAACTCAAACAGTATACGACGGCTTTAGAGCGAGCGAACAATAAACAATGTAATCAAATCGAAGAATGCTATTTGAATGTGATACATTCCACTAGATA